GGGTAGCAAGCCAGGCAGCCTTGCTGGGCTGGTAGTTATCCTCTGCATGCTTAAGGCACTGGGGCCACATGCCCTTGGAGGTGTCTCTTACCTTCATGCTGGCAGTCAGAGGCCTCTCAACATCTCCAAGTCACTGCTGAAAGCAGGAGCAATCCTGACCAGACTCACACACAAAGGCCAGGGCCCACTCCTCTTCTTCAGGGTAGGTGCAAGGTTTGTTGTGGTCCTTTTCCTGCCAACCAGACTCCCTGCAGCTCAGCAGCCACTCATGGCCAGACCCAACCCTCCATGTGCAATGGGACTGGAGTGACAAAGCTGAGGTGCAGAGATGTTCACGTTGAAAGTCTTGGTTCAACCTGCAGCAGATGGGAGCTAGTTCAGAGGTCTGATTCCCTTCCAGTCAGCAATGTTCAGACTTTTGTTTGGGCCCACACTACACAAAAGGAAGAAAGAAAATTCTGTGGTGAAGGACAAGAGTGAGCAGAGATGGCAACCCCAATGGTTGATGCACTGCATGTATCCTGTTAAACCCCCTCTTCCCCAAAAAGCATTGGTCAAGCCGATATTCAGTATGATTTACATGAAGATGGCACTGTATCAGCTGCTTGAAAAGAGGGGAATAAAAGCAGCAGACAGCTGAGCCTTGTCCTGTGGACCTCGGGACAAAAGAGCAGCAACTTTCAGCACCAACTCATCCCTCAGGTCTCTTGTTGCCCAGTGGCATCCCTAACCCTGAGCCAGACTCCTGAGGGATTTGTGTACCCAGGAGAGGTGCTGATGAAAGCTGAACACTGCATGGGGAAACACCCTGCCAACCAGTAGGAAATGCTGAGCAAAGGGCTGTAACATAAACCTCTGCATCCCCAGGGCGCTTGCAAGTACCAAAGGGAAATGCCCAAGAGAGCTGAATGGTGCCACTAGGACCTGGCAGCGGGTTTCTGCGTGGGTAGGGTATGTGGGAAATTGTATGTATTCCTTTTTGTTCCTCCCTAGGAAAGGTTGTGCTGCTTTCTTTGCAGTAAGGTAAAGTGGGAAGGTTTTCTGCAGAGACATCTGTGAGGAGCCTTGGCATCGCAGATGTTTCCAGTGTCACGCACCTCTGTGGTCCAGACCAAACCGTGTGAAGGGAACTGGCCTGCTGCATGGGTGTCTGAGGTTCATGTCTTGGCCCTATGAGGACACAACAGCTGCAGGAATTGGGCACGGCGACGTGACTCTTCCTCAGTACCAGAGGGAAACAAAACAGGACATGAATGAAGCTCTGGTTCTGCAAACAAGCCTGGGAGCAAAAGCAATGCCTCCGGTGTCTGTATTCGCTGCGTACACAGCTAATTATAGGGACAGCTTTTCAGGAGTTTCATTAAGTACACTGGGGAGTTTAGTTCCTTCTGCACCGTCCAGAGTTCTGCACCTAACCAACAACCTTGGGAGCCACAAGGCAGCCACAGGAAAAGCCTCCTCCTCCTCCAGCTGCTCTGCGGTACTCTCTGGGACTTGCACAGCACCGACAGGCCCAGAGTGCTGCACTCGGGATGCCCTGGGCACAGACTGCGGTGGTGGTGGAGCCAGGGGTCTGCCTTAATCCCTGTGCTCAAAGCATTCTGCAATGCAGCTTTGGTGGGCTTAGCCACTGCAATGGGCATCTGAGGTAGAAACCAGAGGCAGAATCTTGTGGAGGGACAATCCCTTGATTGTTGTTTTATTTTGGGTTTTGTCTCCCGTTGTGTTATCTCTGATTTAAATTTGTGTCATACTTGGGCCAGATGTTTTGGGCTGGCTGGGGGAAGCTGGGCTTGTTTTCAAGGGGAACTGACAGAGGGCAGGATGAGGAGGTTCCCTTTCCCCTCAGTATTGTGGAGATACCGTGGTGTGAGACACCCTGCTCTTCAGCAGCGCCTGAACTCAAGGGACATTCAAAATAGCTAAGATAGCAGCTGAGCCTGCCTGACAGCAAAGTGAGGCTGTGGAGGCGTGTGAGAGCTGCCGTCTTTACCCCAGGGAACAAGCAAATTGGGTTGCACTGTGGAAGATGCAACTTTGCATTCATCCTTGGTGAGAAAAGATTTGAACGCCTCCAGAAGCAGAATACTACAAAGACCTGGAAGTTCAGCAAGGGGACTAATGTTTTTGTGTTTCTCCCCTTGAACTGCTGCATGTGGCATAAAATAAATAAATGTTCCTTAGAGGTGAGGACTGGGTCCCAGGAGTAGAAAGCTGTAGAGCGTGACAGAGTCTGGGATGAGACTCTGTGGCTCCTCAGTGCTTCGGAAGGGCTGATCCCTGTGCTCACATCCTCACACAGCCGCAGGGTCAGAGACAACTGATCCTCCTCCACCATGCCCCTCTCACAGGGTACAAGCAGGCCTGGTGAGCCACATGCATTGCACAGGGAACTCCAGCACCAAAGTCGAGGCTTCATTCAAGCTCTTCCAGTCCAGCACTGCAACCTCGGCCCACATCCAGAGGCTGAGCCACCAGCCAAAAGCAGCAGTACCTTCTGACACCTTAGACCCTTCCCCTCCCTTTGAGGCTCTGCCTCCTGCTCCCAGCATCTTTGATGTGCTTCTGCAGCCCCTCTTCAATTGCCACTAGACACATGCTCATTCAAGAGGTCATCTGGTGCAGACAGTTCTCTTCCCTACTGATGGTGAGGGTGTGCTTTGCTCTACTCACCAACAGCATCTCCTGGGTAAGCTCACCAAGCAGGAGAGAGACTGCAGCACAGCCACGCGATACTACCAGGCAAGGTCCCCCATGCCAAGGAGTGCCGCCAAGAAGAAGTCTTCACTTGCAGCTCCAGAACTAGCATGTGAATCCAATGCAGCAAACACAGCGGCAGGTATGTGACCCATCCTGAACAGTCTCATGCTTCGGAGAAAAAGGCACTTAAGAAGTCTGCAGAGATGGCTCACTCCAGCTGTTATATGAACACTACACTTATGGGCCAAACCTTATGACCTTGTAGGCTCCAGCTGACGACATCTCCATGTCTGGGACCACATGCTAGTGGCAGAACATCATTGTGAAATGGATGCTCAGAAGAGAGGACACCCAAGTAAAACAGTTTTACAGGCTGAGAGCAGGTGCCTCCACTTTTGCCAGCCTAAATAAAGAAATATGCAGCACATAATGCCCCAAACTCACCCCTTCCTTGACATCCTCAGTGTTATTATCTAGTTGTGTCCAGAAGCAATACCACAGGTTCTCACAGGCCACATGCCAACCAGAAGTTAGGGAGCACTCAGCTGGGACAAGGGAGAACTGAACAGACAGAGGTGGTTTGGCTCTTTCTCCTCTCCTCCCTCTTTTCCTGCTCTTTTCTGAACTGCCTCATTTAGGAAACACTTCTGGGCCATGGCGATGGCCATGGAGCTTCTGAGATTCCATATTGCTCGCTGCCCTGCCTCTTAGGGGAGAGGTCCCTATGCAGGAAGAAAGTTTCACGGCCTTGCCAACGCAAGGCACAATCCTGAATACTGTTTTGGTCATATCAGTTTTCCCTGATAATGTGCAGCAATTTTGATTCCCCATACCAACTGTTACAGCACTGAGCTTGCTTTAGGTAAGCGGAGGAGAAGGGAGGGTAGAGCACTAAAGGAGATAAGTCCAGCTGTATGGGAGACAGAGCCTTAGGGAGATGAAAGACATCAGCTTGATCCACGTATAGAAGTTAAGAGCTAACGGAGGGCTGGCACTTGTCTCTCTATTGTACCGAGAGCCTCCTTTCTCTGGCCCTCATCATGGTGGCTGGCAGTTACTTTGCATCCCTTCCAGCTCCTGACTTCTCCCTCTGTGGTGGAGAGCTGTGTTTGCCTCATTCCCAAGAACAACTTCTTTCTATTCCCAGTTCTTTGCCTTGGGCTAATCTCTGAGAAAGGGCTGAGGTTTTGCAGCTTTATGCCTCTTAGGGTCCCTGTCCCAAGCCAAGTCTCTTAAGCCCTGAGAGACAATGCAGTCACTGTTTGACAGGAGCATCCATACTTCATGCCAAAGGATGCTGAGCCAAGTATGAGGCAAGCCTACTGCATGCATCTGCTACAGCAGAACAGAGATGGCTCATACATCCTTCCTGAGAAGTCCCCATCCCCTGTACACCAGCACTGGGACCTCTGAGGAGTGTCCGAGGTCAATATACAGACATTAACCTTTCTCTCCAATGTGGCATGGAGATATCCCCTATCTTGCAATGTGACTTTCTACTGCACTTCTGCCACAGCTTTCATTCCTCTTAGCCTCAATCTGCATCTTAGGCTCATTCACTTTTGCTGTACCAGCTCAGACCTACTGTACCCAGTGCTGTACTGATCCCAAACCTCCACAGAAATCTCTCATCCTGGTAAAAATATCTGTTGATGATGGGTCCGGTTCCACGAGGAATGATTCTTAGCAACCGATCCGACTGACCAGGCATTGCAAGCCTGGTTAAATTCAGAGAAAGGAGATTTTTGAGCTTACTCACTCAGCAATACACAGGCTTTGTCCTTAAGTGAAAGACACAGGGAGTGGGAAATCATGTATTTGCATAAAAATTCAGGCTATACACTTTCTGCTTTATTTAGTAAAATAAATGGAAAAGTTCATAAGATGACAAGCAACCAATCTGTTCCTAATGTCAGGAGAGGCTGTGGATCCCAGCATGGCACCAAAAGCAAAGAGAATGAGGGAAACAGATCTCTGGGAACTACAAGCTTTATCTCTGATATTGCCATTTTGCCGTATCACCCTTTGCTCCAACAGAGGTGGCGTGGAAGGACAGAGTGTAGGGCAACACCAGAGTTCCTGGAGTACTGAGAAGAGAGAGACGGAGCCAACAAATGAAAAGGGAGAAGATATTCCTAGAGGGGACAGACAGCATATATGTACATAGCATGGAGATGGAAATCTGTGACTGACTTGGCCTCTTAATCCTACTATCCCAGGAATTCCTGTGCTGCAGGGAACTCTTCATACACCAGAAACGGGTGACTCTGGGCACAGTCATCCTGTTGGCTGAGAAAGAATCAGAGTTCCTCATTCTTCTCCTCAGGTTCGTCTTCTTTCTGAAACACATTAGAGGCATGAAATCAGTTTTGATGCTGCCCTGTTTCTTAGCATAGCGATAAAAGGAAATAAACCAACTTAAATGCCTCCCTCTCCTGTCTGTGCCACTGCGCTGCCTATCCTATTTCAGTTGCACGACACCGGGTCCTGACACACAAAGCCTCTGTGCTATAGGAAGATGAGCTTTGACAGAGAGAGAACTCTTAAGACTGAATGAACATGGAGATTAAATTGTCCCTCTCCCAGCAGAGACCTCTGGTAGAGTCCTGAGCCCTTGTCTGTGTACTCTGTTCTGTGGCCTTCTTGATAGATTTCCTTCCTATCCATGCCACTGTCTCTCTGATCCTCTCTTATGTGCTGCCATCCACCACCACCATCCTCAGTGTCCAAAAGCACCCTTTGCTGTCTCCCCAGCTGCTGTTCCCAGAAAAGAGATGCTTCACCGAGACCTTCATACAGTTGCAGAGGCCAGTGAAGTCTTCTTGCTGTAGACTAGAAGACTGTAGACAATGAAGAAACAGATTCTGCAAAGACATCCATCTCTGCTCTGCTCTAGATCTAATGCTTTTCTGATATTTGGGTGCAAATGAAAACGAAAGAAGAGGTCGCAGGGGCAGGGAGTTCAAGGAACTGAAGTTATCTTCTTCAAGAGCCTTGTGAGAAACAGCATCGACCTACCAGATCCCTGCTTCCTGTAGACTGTACAGGAGTCCCCCTTTACCTTCTGCATTCTTTGTAAGAAACGATTACAGAAGTCTTGTACACGCTCAACGGAGACTTCATCCAGAGTCAACACATCCTGCTCCTCATCTGGTGCATGAAATAAAGCCAGAGCTGGCAGCTGGGACTTCTTCAGTTTGAAGAATGACACTACTCGTTCATTGCTCTTCAAATTGCTGTCTAACAGGATAAAGAGAATCTGTGATGGAAATAGGAGAGGAAACGTGAGCAAAACAGAAACTGAGAGAAAACAGAACCCTAAACACCGATCATATGAAGATTAACAGTGATATTTTTATAAAGAGTTAGGGAAAACCTATCATAATTTGTTAGGACAACACTTTCCTCTGCCACCATCTAACTGCTCCATGCAGTACATTTTTCTGTATTTTATCAAGCCCAAACTTGCACTACCAAACAAAATGTCTCCTTTCACCTTCTTTAAAAATATATCTACAGTTTGGCAGGAAGGCAGTCTCCACTTCTATTCTCTTAATAGATGAGGAAACATGATGTCTTTTATCCTAGTGGCACATGTAAAAGAAGCTAACTCCTCTACCTGCATGTTATTTGCATCAATGCTTACATCCATGCAAGACCTAGAGTGGCAGAGTAAAAAGGTGTTTCGCTGTGTGGAGAATCAAACTTAATTGCAAGAATGTGGGAGTGAAGTATAGGGCAGCAGGAGCCTGCAAGGATAAGAACATGAGAGTACCAAACACAAACAACATATTTAAGTGAGTTGCAGTGAACAGAAATGAAGATGGAGTCATTCAGAAAACAGTTGTTGGCAAGACACCAATATCCATACAGCCCAGCTCAGCGGAGGGTTGTTCAGACCTGGGGAGAGAAGCCCAACAATGAATAAGTCAGGATGAGAACGACCTACAGTTTTCTGGGCTCCCAAATAGTCTTGGAGAGCAAGATCAAGCCAAGGATTAAAATTCTGCCGGGATGATTCAATAGTACGGATTTACCAGAACTGGTGACTAACTCCATGTTTTTATTTTAAGAGCAAGTTTCAACTGAGATCTTACAGGTGCAGTAGGAATTGGCAAAAATGTAAAATTTTGGAATCGGAAAGATTATAATAAAATACACAGTTATCTCAAAATCTTTGTTAAATCATCTGTTAAATACAAACATTATGTATACATTTTATAAAAGAAAATAAATGCAGCAATTGAACAATTTAAACAGTGACCTGATTAAATAGAATCCCTTGGCAGGTCACATCCAAGTCAATGAAACCAACATCCAGCCAACACGCATCATTTTATCTTTTCTTTATCCTGTGTATTCTACTGGGCCTAGCATATTCAATGTACCTATGGACATGGATATGACTTAACTTACACAAGAAAAAAGAAGAGTTTAAAAAAGAGAAGTAATGCAATGTGAAGACGATGTGCCCAGTTCCCAGGCTGTGACTCATGTTTTTCTTTCTTTTCAATCAAGAACACTCAAGTTAGTTCAAAACTTTTTTTTCTCCAAAAATAAACTTGGTAAATCTCAAATTCTTTACTTTATTAAATTTATGTTCTATAAAAAAGCAAATATATCTGGAAACTTTCCTAGGCAACAGCCTATGGGAAGGAGGGGTAGTTAGGCTAGTGTAAGGTTTAATTGCAGTTAATCACTGCGATACAGAAACAGAAACAGCACTTTCACTGGATATGTGATATTTATCACTTGCAATTTCTCTTCCAAAAGTCATCTGTGTCCCAAGGGCAGCAGGCTAGTGAGCAGGAAGATTGTGGGGAACTTCTCCCAGAGTGCTAAATTCACCCTTTTGCAGGATAAAACACCGAGCTAGAGAAGGGTCACAAATCTAAGGGTCACAGGTCTACAGACCTGATCTAAGAGACTTTCAGCTGGAGCAGCAATACTTATGTTTTAGGGCTCTCCTTCCAATTACCAAGCTGGAAACAGAGGCCAGTTTGCAGGGAAGCACTTTCAGAGGGTTGGTACAGGAGAGAGTATCACGTTTTTACCAGTTCATTCACCAGCTTTTGGTTTTCTCTATGAAAGACTGACTACACAACAATGTTTTCTTAATCAAATGTTAAACAAGACGCTAATAATAATAATAAAAAAAGCATTTAGAATACCTAGGTTGTTAAAAGTTGTCACTTTCTAGACAAAATCTCCTCCACCTTTAAAAAAGAGGAATAGCATTTTTAAATGGTAATATAAATAAATGTTAGTCAACATTCTTCAATTTGTCAAGCTTCCAGCCTTTGTTAAAAACTCCAAAACTAAAAAGCTGTACATATTTTATCCACGAATACAAAGAACAGAGAATGAAAGAATGAAAAAGTTGGGGTTTGGAGCTCCAAACACCTTCTTCCTTACAGAAGAAAATGAAAACACACAAACAACTGGCTCCTCAGCTAGAAAGGCTGAGATATCATCATTCACAGTTCCTGACTTGGATCTCTCTAATGACTCCCATTTGGCTCACAGAGTTACAGGGTGCCAAAGTACAGCAAAAGTTTCCTTCCCCTTTTATATTCCAAAAATACAGGAGAGAAGGCAATTGCATTTGTCCACTGTCTCTCAAAAGAAGACACCTAAGTGCCTATTACGTGCATTTTAGAATGACACATTCTTGGTAGGTGCTGTGATGTGGGATGAATCCTCCTTCAGCAAAAGGACAGGTCATGCATCCTATGCTGGATGTGCTCCAGGGGTCCTGCCAAGGCCTGTGTGGCCTCAAAGTCACACCTGTGAGGCTGTCTGTAAGGTGGTACTGAGGCCACAAGCACTGGAAGCCTGGTCTCCTCAGCAGCTGGAAACCAAGCAGGTTTCTCAATGGGATCACTTCCATGATAGATGCCACCTGGTGGAACTGGCATTTTCTCATGAGGAATTTATTTTGCTCAGAGATTCCCAGCCAGCTCTAATCATAAAGAACGAATGCAGTGACCATGGAAAATTATACTGACCATAAGACAAGATATACCTTGCCTAATTTCTGCCATCTAGATCTTAAGTCTTTTCTGAGCCGGTCATCTAGACAACGTCTACAATAAATGGTACAATAAATGGCATTTGATTCCACTTATTTTACAAGGGGAGGAAGGACTTATCTGTCCTCTAGCAATGCTGAAAAGAGCCTAAAACCTTAGCTCAGACAACTTACCAAAGCTATAATTCACCAAAACAAATCCCAGTTATGATGCCAGTTCTCACATCACTGCTAGAAATGAGGTAGTTCCATCCAAAACAGAAAGTTCATTTTCTATTTTATACTATGCTGTACGATAACTGTTTATTTCATTCTGAAATGATTCCCGTGAAATTGTTTCATTTTGTGGCAATCTTCTTGCCTGTGTTTAGAGGTCTGCAGCTAGAGGCAATGAAGGATCTACTGCACAGATGAGGAACTCCCGACACAAATTGTCCCCTCCACACATGATACTCCAAGAACACAGAACACAGTGTGGTATCATCTGTGTACTGTCACCTGCAATAAGCTCTCTTTCAGAAAATTTTATACACTGGTGCCGTCCTGGTGTCTCGACAACTTGATTCCTAGCCCAGTGCTTTTAGAACATCGAGTTCCCAGTAAATACTAAGATATGGGATGATGTTATTGCCCAAGGAATTAAAGTTAATAGAAAATAGTACTGCAATGGTAGAAACCAATTTGATGTTGCTTAGTTTTTCCTCTAAGGAAGACAAACAGGAAGGATGACCAAGCCTCATATTCAGCGTTTGACTTCGAATTTCATGGAGCTGCAACCTTCATTCTTTAAGAGACTGTATAAGCAAAAAGATCAAATTCTGAATTTTGAGTAATTTCTTACATAGCTTACATAGTACATCAAAGCAAAATGAAAACATGAGTCATGAATTTAAAAAAAAAAAAAAAGCAAGCTACAAAACCAATTTTGTTGTAGGTATCTGTTAAGTGATGTAGATGACCCATATTTACAGTGTCCCCTATTTATGGCTAAAAGAGGTATCTCTGTTATCTATCTCAGTTCTGGAGACATTGATGTCTGACAAGAAAAACAAAAAGTGTATGAATGACTGTCTGCAAGAAAAAGGGCACCATCCTTTCCTTTCCATGGAAGAACTCCTGAAGGACTCTCAGGAGTTTCTCAGAACCAATTTCTAAATTGGCCTACATATAAATTAAAAGCAACTTTGCCAACATCTCTACCCAAACCATTTTGACATTGTAAACCAGTTATATCAGTTGCAGCAAAAGCTGCTTTTGTTACTCCCAACATCACCTTGTTGAAACTTATTGAAACATGAGGTACACCAGCTGTAATTGTCATGTTTTACTCTGATACTGTGGAAAGAAAACTGAAGATGCTGATGCTAGTTTGGCTTAGCAGTGCAAATCTTGACACTCCCTTTCCAGTAGAAAGCCTGGACTCTTGGCAGTACTTTCTCAAGTAAGCACATATTTGATTGCAGTGGGATCCTTCCAAGAAGACTGGTGGATTCACTCCTGCAGCTGCAGTGCTCTGAGCTCTGCCTGTTCACTTTTATCCACCCACAATTGTTTCTCAAAGTCTGCTAGAAAAGTACCATATTTCTTCTTATTCTTGTCAGCTCTCGCTGGCTTAACATCATCTAACATTTGCACTTTCCTCTCCAGCACTTTATAGCCCCCAGGTTCCACGATAAAATATAGAGGAATCTAGACTGCCTTCAGACACTCGCTGCTGCTTAGGGTGCAGTTCCAGCTGCGTTCAAACAATGCTCCTCACCATACAGCCTCATGGACCCTCCAACTGAAAATCTCTGCTTCCTCTCAGGCAAAAATGAAAAGATCATAAACCAGAGATGAAGGGACCATAATCCAGACACTGGCAGCTGAATCACCTTCTCATGACCTTCTCATGAATGGTTGGACTCGATGATCTTAAGGGTCTTTTCCAACCTAAATGATTCTATGATTCTATGATTTTCTTCAGTCTTTGGGGTCAGTCACTCAGCAGCAGCAGTTCCTCTTCATCTCTCTGTCAATCCAAGCAACAAGTTTCTCTTCTCCCTCCACCTGGTGATGACAATGACAAGGACTCATCTTCCCTCAGAGCACAGCAGAGATGTGTGAAAGGATGACTACACCTTCTGCTTGGGAACCCTCTTGAGGCTCTGTTTATGTCCTGCACTGGCAGTGTGGAGAAGAGGCAATGCACACTGAGTCTCCCCACTCTGTTCCAGCACTCTGCAGTCATCGTGAAGCAGTGGATGCAGTGGTACATGCTCCCAGGGAGCCCAAACACCTCTTTCCACTGCACAGCAAAGATTCATTGCTCAAACCACTGACAGCACTAACCCCACAGCACAAAAAAGCCTTTCATCACCAGCCCACAGGCTATGAATTATTCACTGGTAATCCTGAATAAAATTCAAGTCAAGAATCTTGCATTTATTCACAGACAATCTGCAAGCCGTAAAAAAGGCAAAATCTACTCAATACTTTACATGTTTTGAAGTAAACCTTAGTTAACTTGGTAGTCCTGACAACCAATAACTCCCCTTAGGAAAACGAGCCAGCCGAGATTTCCATGGTATTGTGCAGTGGCTGCTTCTGACATCCAAACTAATTCATGTCTTTCTACATGACAGAGCAATGGAGTCAAACCTAAGCGGGCATATCGCTCTGCTTACTCCTTAGTACCCAGATCTAAGATGCAAAGAGAGGGATCCTAGCTCTCCCTTACTGCTCTATAAAAGGGCAGTCCAAATCACAATTTACTCCTCACAGTGCCACTCCTTTGGGAAAAACAACTTATGAGACTCTAAGTCCCTTTATTTACGTGTCCTGCAGTACCACGGCAGTAAAGTGGAAAAAAATTAGTCAAATCCCACATCTTTAATCTCTGTATTTTACTCTGGCAAACTTCTAGACTGATTCGGTGGGAAACTTGCCTGCACAAATAATAAAAAAAAAAAGTTGGATTTGGCTTGCTGGCTATTCATAAATTATCTGGACTTCAGTACAACATTTTATCCAACGTTTTGTGAAGTATTTCTAGGAAAATTATTCCTATTTGCTCTGATCTAGGCATGTTGCATGAAGAGAAAACTAGTTGCAGCTGCATCAGAAGCAAAGGATAGTGATGCTAAACAGCAATGTGCTGTGTTCTGAGAGTTAGCTGCTTGGGGGAGACCTGTGTCAGACTTTGCTGCTCGTGGAGGACAGTGATAACGGTGTCACTATAACACACATCTCACATGAGATGGCTGGAATTTTTCAGATAAATAAGTTTTCTTTTATCATTATGTGTTCATCAAAGCAAAACACTTTTGAAGAGACCTTTTGACTTTGATGCAAGGCTTCTGGACTGCTCTCTTGCCAACGGGTGGAACAGATGGCAAGGTCGAAAGTTGTCCTGTCATAAACAAGCCTCAAGACTTTTGAGGGTGCAGGATTCCAAGGTGTCACCTCCATTTGAAGATGAGGATATATTTGATATTTAATCTGCCCCTTCAGTACCACGAACAGATGCATGCAGATGTTCTTGTTCTCAAACCCCAACTCTTTCCAGCTCCGCTGTTCTCCTGGGAAGATCTTTTCCACTGCCCCTCTGCTCAGCCTTCCCCTCTGATGTGATCTTCTGTCCCCTCCCATCTGCTATTCTCCCTTGCCCCAAATGCCTTCCTGTTGATCCCAATCCTCTGTTGCTTGCCAGTTCCTTCCTCTGTTCCCTGGACACAAATTCCCCTGTAATCCAGCTGCTGGCAGAGAAGCAGGCATGGGAAGGTTTACTGTCTGGGGAAATCTGCCCACAGAGGGGTGGGAACCAGGCAAAATTTCTCTGAAAGACCCCATCTATCCCATCACCTTAGTGTGGGAAATCCGACAAACCCATTTGCAACTCCTTTAAAATAGCTATTTCCCCAGGATCCAACCAGAAGGCTAAGGGTTAAGAAGCACCACAACATTAATTGCTGTCTGGTCACTTATATAATGCTCCTTGGCATCTTGCGGGCTGTATATACAAAATCACCTCTCACCCCAGTGGAATGCAACCATCACCAGACTGAAGTGCGGCAGCTGTTTGTCATCTCTCAGCGCAAAGGAACAAAACTGGACCAGAAGCAAGGAGGTACATAATGTCCCACTGAGGGAGCAAAGGAGCAGGATACAGAGGATATTTTCCCCACAAGGAGGCAAACTGGCAAAAGGTGAACAGATCCAACCCCTCCACTTAATTATCCAGCTAATCCTCTTTTCCTGCCACTTGGCCTTTGCTCCCCTAATGCACAGAGAAGATTATGTCCTCCCTATCCATGGAAGCAATCACTGTTCTCCTATTTTTCTCCCTAATGGCTCCCCTTCCTCTCTGTTTGGACTTACCTTCCCCTTGAAGAGCTCCGCTGCCGCACGATATTTGCGCATTCGCTCGGGGTGCTTCGGGGACATCTTGTCTGTGATCAGGAGGAGGTGAAGCTGGAGCGAACTCTGCATCACACCTATCGCTGTCTGCCAAAAACACGGCCAGTGCAGACAGGGAGAGAAACACACAGACAAGGAGACTGAGAACATACAATCTGCATTGAATGCACTGCCAGAGGGACATCAGCCCTCATGTCTCGGCTGAGATTTCTTTGCAAATCAGCCTCACAAGCAGGACAGCTATCTTTAAAGCAGGGGGCATCCAATCTGGGTTCTTTGTGGAAGCGCTTAACCTCCTGGCTTTGCTTATTCCTGAGACAAGAGTCTGAAGACCACAAGGGTTCATCACCTGCCTTAGGATAGCCGGTGACTAGGCAGGTGACTGCCTGGATACAGCAAACTGAAGTCTAGAGGGACAAGGAAGGCCTGGAAACGCTGAACCTCAGGGTGCCCTGAATTGCTGAGATCCAGCACCCAGATGAAATAGGAGCAAGAAAGTGGGAAGGATTTGAGGTGTTAGGGTTGGTGTCTCCTCTTGTTTCCTTTCTTTAGCATTAGGCTGTGTGTAGGATGGGGATGAGTCCAGAGTTCCAGCAACCCCAGTGCCTGGACATCCCAGAGTGCTGAGGGTTAAAATTGCCTCTGCAGTCCTGCAGTGGAAGAAGACCTGGCTGTCCCTGTCCCCTGAGCAAGGGCCAAGCAGGCAGCACACACTGGCCCCTCTGTGAGGAGACGGGGCTGGCGCTGCCCAAGAAGCCGCCGCACCATCTCCCAGCTCTCACTCACTCACTCACTCGTCATCTCACTTCTCCTCCTGCCCGCTTCCTGCAGCCTCTCCCTCAAACCAAACAGCAGCCGGGCCAGACCTGCTGCCTCCCCTCTGCCACTGAAACCACCGCGGTGCAGACTGGGCAGCTCCCTGCCAGCGGGAGAAGAAAGTTTCCACACGCTCCAGGAGTAATACGGAAGGGGTCAGGGAGTGCACATCGGTGAGGGCCACGCACTGCAAAGCATCTAATTTTTTGGCAGCCGGGACTCTGCCTTCAGCCTGATGTTTATCAGACATTTTCTATCCCTTCACTTCTCCGGTGGTGAGCAGATGGGGCAGAGGAGAGTAGAGGGGATGCAAACCATGGCTGGAGAGCATTAGAAGACCTCATGGGGGAGGATGGGGCTGAAGGTGAGGATGAAGCCAGCCAGCGCCGAAGCTGGACTGACAGCAGGCAGGGCTGTAACCACGGTTCCTCCGGCAGCTCCACACAAAGATATGCCTGTCCACGCAACCTTGTGCAAGAGCAATCGGCAGAGCTCATCAACACGGCTGGGTCACATCTGACTCTCCTGGAAAGCACACAGGGGTAAGCGCTGCCTAAAAATGCCTGAAGTATGTAGGCGAAACAGTAAGGGCCCCAGGATGGGGAGGAAAACTCTTGGCAGCGCTCCACATGATCCGGGTGACCCCAGCCTCTGCAGCATTCTGAGATGTAAACAGCATATGCACTGGGAATAAATATTTACGAAAAACCAAGCTACCTTAGAGGAGCTGGGAGGGCTTCCGGCCAGGGACTACAGGAGGCACTGTTAATTGCAGCACCTTGATTGGACTCCAGAGCATCAGGGAAAAAAAAATGGAACAACATGTGTACTGCCAGTCAGGGTGGAGGGGACCGGCTGAACAGCTCAGGACTTTTCGGTCAGGGAGACAGCCTCGGTGCCGAACAGGATGCCATGGAGCGAAAGCCCAAAGCACCAGCAGAAACACATGAAGAAAGTGACACGATCTAATTAATTGCCAAAAGATGCAGTGGAGGCTCCAAAGGTTCTGAAGACATGGACATTTATAAAGATAACAAGAACATCCCTGCTGATGTGACTTGGGGTGTTCTCAAAGGACTGTAAAGACAGCAGGGCAGGATAGAGCTTTTCCATCCCCAGAAATATTCTGTGATTTTGAAATATTTTTTTCACATCACTTATCAAGATGAAAAAACAAATCCACTTTTTTTTTTTTTTTTTTTTTAAAGAAAACCCCCAAACTTCTACAGTATTTCATTCTGGAAACAAAATGTTGCACTTCCAAAACAAAATGCCCTCTCAACTGGCAGGCTGCACCTGAACTGGGGAATATGGCAGCCCTCTTAGCTGATCCTTGGCATCGATTTGAAAAGGTATAGCTTTGAAACAGGTTGGGCCATTCTCATTTGATTAAATTCAGCCTGGTCATCATCTCTGCAGTTATTCAGAATTCCACAAAAGATCCCATGAGCAATGATAAAGTCTAAGCCTTGCGGCCATCTGAGCTCTAAGACCTAGAAAATGAGCCCAGTGAGCTGCTGAGATTCCAGGGGAGCCTAAATCCTTGGTGACACTCTATAGGGGATAGTCATTGGGACCCAGTGACTGCCAGTCAGGTGGGCGAGCTAATGAAAATGGCCAACATGGAAGCATCCTATTTGTCTAATTGTTATTGTTGTTGTTGTTGAACTGATGAATTCTGGAGTAAGGTATGGAGGGGATGGGAATTTTTTTTCTTGGGAAGTTTCCAACCGGCTCTTGAATATGCTTTCAAATAGCCAGGCTTATGTCAAGTCCTATGTGCTGGGTGATAGAGAAAAGCCTGCCTTCTCAGAGTAGATCACTCGAGCTTCCATGTTTCTCACAGCTTCTCAGCCAAAGAGGGGGGAACCACAGGGTCTGCAGGTATGGCACAACATCACGAATGCCCATGGGAGGAAGCAGCACTGCCATCAGGAGTGGTAAGAAATGGAACTCCCTGCCCATCAACACCCCAAATTTATTGGAAGTGTAAAGGAACTGCCATGCCCCCATTCTTCTCCCCACACCACTCGCACGCTCCAGTGCAGCATCTGCTTCCACTCCCCGTATGGAGTAGCAGCAAAGAGTTTGTGGCCTCCCCAACCCCATCCACACTGTTGCCACAGCACTTGCATACATCTGGGCATGCAAACTCTTGTGCCAGAGGACACCCATGTGCCAAGTGCCCGGGTGAGGACTGCGGGGAGCTGGTAATTACCACAGGGTTGTAGTCTGTCACCAGGCGGAGCTCATTCATCCGAATGAAACGAGTCATCTTCTCAGCATCAACATCTTTGCTGTTCATATCCAGATCCCTCCGGTCATTGTCTACCTGAAGACATGCAAAGACACCTACAGTCACAGCTGTCCTCTCCTCTCAGCACCTTCTCCAGAGGCGCTGATGGTAGTCACTCATGGAGACACCCAGCCCTTGGGACACCTCCTTCCTCTCATCCCCAGCACGTAATCCTCACTTCTGGAGGACCAGAACCATTAGACCTACAGAGAGCAGCCTGCACTTCCAGATAAGGATGTTCCACACTCCTTCAGTCTCCTAAGGACAAGGCAAAAACTCATGAGATAACAGAAATCACTCAGGACTCCAGACATCCCTACAGTATCAGCTCCTGATGCACTGGAGACAGGGAGGATTAGCTGATAAACTATTCTAGGCATTGTGGGGAGAGATCATTACATAGCCTAACTCCTCGCATCGATTTTGGCTTTACATCTCTTTTTTAAATCTTCATCTGCTTATTCTGTTTCTTCTACAAGTAATAAACATTGGCATAGGACTGTATGGATTTCCTGGAAACATTGTGTAAGCAGGAAATCTCTCCAATAAAAAGAGCATTTTTTTTCCAGTACAGCAGAGAAAAAAAAAGGAAAAAAAAAGAAAAAAAAATCAAGCCCAGCACATTTTAGCTTTAGAGGAAAATCCATCCTGCCACATATCTCCCCACACTCAACCCCCTCACCCAAACGATGTGATTTTATTGAGGTTTGCTTGACCTGGTAAACAGAGAAAAAGCAGGCAACCATTGAATGATAGCTAAAGCACCCAAAGGGGCAGAGTTGCTGTGCAGTACCACCGCAGGACGTGATTGAGTTGGGCCATGGGGACACTGGGTTTCGACATGCAATAGGATCAAAGTTTGAGATTTGAAGGCCTTTGATTGTTGAATGAGGTTCTTGGGGCTGAGGAAAGGTCCACGTGCACAACCCAGATTTTATTCTCTGCATCTGTACAACCTCTGAAAGAGCTTGTGTTACTTTTTCCAGTGGTGTGCAGACATCTGAAGACCTTTTTGCTGTTCTGTGGTCATTGCCAAGGTCTTTGATCTTGTAGGGGGCCACAGCACCCTGTGTGGCAATCCAAACCGGCGTTTTCCAGACTGTGCAGCCTGATTCCTCTCACAGATTTGCTCCTGTGTAATATGAAAGGGCAGCTCTACTCAAGTAAATGGGATCAGGGCAGTGCAACACCTGGCCGGGTGAGATCAGGCAGGCCTTAGGAACCAATCTAAAGCACCTCGGACTCCACAGAAAGTCTTTTCTTGACTTTCATGGGCTTCTAGAAACACCTGATATCCATTTTGGGATAACGATATCCTAAAGCTGCGCTCAACTTTTATGATTTCAAGAAAATAAGGCTGGAAAATATTCTGCATCTAATAGTTGAAGTTCTGATCAAAATGTCTTCATCACTCCATGTAATTAGCTTATTAGCATCTGTTAATTATGTTCTTTTTAGGTCTGTCAGGCCAGATTCCTCACTAGAATAAATCCATTTCCCTCTGCTATATGCAAAGAAGACTCACCAGTTGACAGCAGCCCCTCCTACTACTGTAATTATCTTTAAAACGTCTAAGCATTATATGTGTTTCATACTCTGCAAAAGCAAAGAAAAAATGCATTTATGCCTCTGATTCACTGCTATCCTGGTCACGCATCTTTGTATTCTTCAAATGGGTATTTGATTCCAAGTTCCTGTCTCAGTTCTTTTTTCTTTTCCTTTTTATCTCTGACCCCTTACTCCTACACAGTATTCAGCACAGAATAAATGGAAAAATCATGTCTGAACAACTTAATTTAAGAAAAACTGACAATTAGACAAGTGAATTGTCAACCACATTTGAACCTGACTAGTGTATTAGTTTCTTGGTTGGCTTTTATTTTTTCCTATTAAACAAGAGTTCAGCTGCAAAAACTGGACTGTGAACAAAGAATATTCAAAATAATCCAAATTCCAACAATCCAGACAGTTTCTTTTATCAAACACCCTCCCAATGCAGTCATCCTCACTATCTGCCACAGCACAAAAAACAAAGGATCTTTTCAACATTTTTGGAAGAAATCCACCATGACTAAGAACCAAAACTGAGATGGGTGTTGCTTCAGATTGCAACATCTGCACATAGCAAATAAAAGGTTAAATAAAAGGACCTGCCTACCTATTGCTCACTCTTAGATCACTGTCTTTGAGTTATTTGGATAATGCCAGCAGTAAACATGGTGCAGGAAATGACGAGAAAGAAAAGGGAACAAACTGGCTTTCTCCAACCTTCGTACAACCTGTATCTAGAGCTTGGCCAAGCTGCCACATTTAGTTTCCCTAGTACACATAGCACGTCCCTGTGCTGCCCCCTCCACCCCACGTGCTTAGTGACACAACACTTCATAGGCTTTTAGGACATCTTGTGCTAGGGCCCCTCTCCTCCTCAGACGCGCCTCTCTCTCCAGTTTTCAAGTGTCCCGCTTGTGTGAGAAGGGGCAACATGAGGAAATTGATATAGCCAGTAGAATACTTGCTTTTAGCTTTTGTTGGTACTCTTGAAGCAAGTACACGGCCCTGCCCCATGTCATCTCCTTAAATTTCAGCACACAGCTTCAAATTCAGTGGGCCACCAGCACTTGGAGCTGGAGTCAGCTAAGATTTGATCTTGCACAGCATCCATCCCTAAGAAACTGCAAAGTAACATTTTTAATGGGCGCATGCCCAACGCATATTTAGGGAATAACTCTACAAACCACAATGCAGGAGACAGAAAAGAGTGTCTAGGGTTTCTTTTGGTGGCAGAGCATCTATAACTGCAGAGACCCAGTCTAGATCTGGTTGCAGTCACGATGGAAAAGTTGTGCACCCAGGGAGACAGCTTTGCCTGCCTGAAGTGACACTTGGCAAGATTTGATATCAAGCTTGCTGTGTTGATCCATTGTAACGTGTCCTCTAGATGCTTTTCCTGTGTCTCAGGAGCTTTTCCAAAACCACAGAAACCCCATCCAAGTAACATTGAGCTCCAGGCAGGTCACTCAGAAACACAGACATCGTTATCATAGAATCAGAATCATAGAATGGTTTAGGTTGGAAGGGACCTTAAAAATCATCTAGTTCCAATCCCCCTGCCACCGGCAGGGGTACCTCCCACTAGACCAGGCTGCTCAAAGCCCCCTTCTTTGCAAAGCACTGGGGGCTGGACCAGACCCACAGGACATCTTAAAATGGAGAATCTTACCAGGTGTAATACGTGTTGCACGTTTTAGCGATGGGCACTCCGCAAGTGAAAAGTAAAAGACCTCTTTGGGGCAGGAAGCTCTACAGATGTGCTTTTTAGGTGGGCAGGCAGAGTCACTGTCAATGATAAATCCTTTTTTTTTTTTTTTTTTGGCTTGCTCTAAGGTGAGATGAGCAGCTTTAACCTTCTTTATCACTACTGCCAGGAGGTTTCATTTCTTCTGTGCCGTGGTGGTGGGTAGTTTTTAAGCAGTTGCCCTAGCACCTCTCTCACCAAAAACCAGTGGGCAGGGGAACCCCTAAACGTTAATTTTATAGACACAGCCTTTTTGCATGGCATGGTGTTTCCCGGGTGGGGGAGATGCTCGACGGCAGCCCCGCGTCCCTCCCCCGCCTCCTCCGGCCACGGCAGCGGCGGCGCCGTGGGGTGCCCCCCCACCCCGTCCTCACCCCCCGAGTCGTTCCCACGCCGCGGGCCCACGCACCCTGCGGAAGGGCGTGATGGTGTTGGCCGCCACG